ATAAATTCGGATTTAAAATTGGCGATGGATCAGTTGTAGGTTATCAAATGGGAATAAGTCGGAATAACCCAATGTGAGTAGGCTTAAGATTCTTTATATTGTAATTCAATTATTAATTCACTTTTATTTTCACCACGAACGAACAAAGACACTACCTAAAACTTTCCTTTTTCTTTATATATCGCTAACCAGATATCATCCCAACTACCTTACTGAACGAACAACCAAATATGAGAGTTTAATAAATCATGTTACATCTGTGTTACACTCATAATTCTCCTTATTGGATTCTGTTATAGAAATGAGCCTGAAAAATATACTACAATGACAATATTTATTTTATTAAACACCACGATATTTTGACTACATTGATCATTCATATATTTTTTGTGAAAATACGCCGATAGTTTGTTGTTAATAACAATGTACTATAATGAGTTAGATAGCTCATTTTGCGATTAGGCCCGGCGTCCGACAATACGGAACGGTTACACGCTCCACGGGTTGAAGGGGTGATCATGGAGTGTGTATCCGTTCCGAAATATCGGGAAAATAAAAAGAAGTCATACCGTGGTAAGTAACCTGTAATTAATGATAATCATTTAGTGAATAACACAAAAGCCTTAAAGTCTGGAATCTATAAGTATGGAATACCAATTATAGTAGTAGCAGTAGAGCTCCTCGTGTTAGAGTTCGTCAACGGAAATACTGCCACCTTACCTATTTCTGCCGCCAAGCAGTAATGTGAGCATTAATGTCTTCCAGTTTTGAATGGTAAGGGTGCTGGTGAAATTACAGGCACATGGGACTTGTCAAGTTTTTTTTAATAAAATGTAAGTGCGCATTTGACCTCCATCTCACCTGATGGAAAGCGTCGACGACGTCGACGATGGAGCGTGCTAACCTAAATAATGCATATTCTCTCTCGCCTTGAAAGGCCCAAGTTATAATGTTCAGGGGACAATTCTGCAAGCAGGAAAGCCCACTCCATAGCCGTTCGCCATATTAACAAGCGTTCGTACAAGAAGCGTACTTCGTGCGAATCTTTGGACAACACAGGGGTGGAATCCGAGTCTACGCCGAGTCCCCCGGTAAGGGGAAGGCGGAATTAAATCGTGTAATTCCATCGCACGCCCTCCGTGATATGTCCTGTAAAATACCGATAAGCAGGCAACTTTACGGCGATGTTCAAGGCTCTGCAGCTTCGCCTCCACTCATGGTGACGGGCGCAGTGGCAGTGCCCAGATCTTTGTGATTTAAAGCTCTGAGTGGCACTACAACTATTATGGACAGGCGTGTCGCTTACCATCAGGCGCACGACTTGTTCGTCCCGTCACTTCAAGAAACTAAATTACGTATTTACCGTTTTTGCCCTCTATTTTGGGCAAAAAAGGGATAAAAGTCGTTGCTTTGGGTAAAAACCCGGTTTAAATCCGGGCGGGTTGACCGGATTTTAATCCATTGCCCATCTCTGTGCGGCATGCGAGCCGGCCGCCCCCGGAATCCTAAGCAGTCTTGGGAATGCTAAGCAGCCTTCGGGATGCTTCGACAGGCTTCGTAACGTCGTCGTCAAGTGCGACTATGCGGCATGCAAGATTCCGTTTCGCCATCAGTGGGCGCCGGACTTTAGAGTTTTGCTTTAGACACCTCGATTTATTCAATTGTTGACGCTTATATTGACTCCAATATTCAATACTAGCTACATTTTAGAGTCGTCAACTGCAAACTACAATATATTCGTCGTTTGTATGAGAGCGCGTTCCCATTACGTCGCAACGTTTTATTAATCGTTGCGTCTAGTCTGTTCCCATATCACGACTCATATACTGACTGTGTCGAGGATGCTCATTTTATCGTTGAACGGCTTTCGTTTTCTTCCCACTAGATCGTGACGACAATTTTTCGGTTCACGGCAGCCGCCTTGTTGTTTGCGCGAGAGAATCATTTGAAGTTGTGATTATCTGCCGTCACATTTTTGCCGGGACGTTTTATTTATCGTCTGACGACTGTCGTTTTAGTTCTTCCCATTGTCGCTATAGTCTGTCGTTGTAATGTCAAAAAAGTCGTGAACGAGAGTTAATCGTGTTGTTCTATGTGTGAACAACTTCATTTAAATATATAAGCGACGACACTTTAAACTGCACGACATAATGGGAACGCGACCTGACCAAAATCGACGCACACATTGGGCAGCTACAGTCGTAGTATAACTAAATAATTGCTAGTAAAGTTATATTTGTCCCGAGGGCAATATGAACGCTCCCTCGCTTCAGTCTGCCAGTTTCAATTTTGCGCAAGAATACCTTGGCATTATATAAAGTACTTGAAAGTAACCTCCAGTTGATAATATTCAATTTTTGATCATCAGTTTAAATAAATTATACAATTTGGCCGTTGGCACATATAGGTTTTTTGAAGAAGGGACAAAGGAAGAAACTTGTACTTTTGATAATAATAATAACGCATAACCCTCTAGTTCCGCACTAGAAAGACTCTGTGTCGCGGGTGCCATAGACACACACGCATAGACAACCACAAATTAGACAGACCAGACTCACGAAATAAATAAATATATGCCATACAAATACGGACCTCTGCGTGACAGCCCTGCATAGTAACCGTTCGATCACAGAGAGGCGGCTTCAACTGCTAAAAAATTGAGATCGAACGCATGTCAAATTAAATAAAATCATGTTACGAAAATTAAAAAAAAAATACGATGGAGTCAGTGTAAATTCACTGTATCACTAGCACTCATAAGCATTGTTTATTTCAATGAATATCGTGATTTACGTAAATTTTTTAATTTTTCGAGCAAGTTTTTCACGCAATATTCGGAATAAGGTATAACATGGTACAATTGTATTAAATCTACCCGTTTCGTGAATGAAATAGTTAAGATCAAGGTTAATGCCAAGAATAATTTAAACTTTCTACAAAATTTTCACCTACAATGGAGTTCGTTTAAATTATACAAATTGTAGCCCTGCAAACAGGGCGCGACTTATTCGAGAGCGATATAAAACACGAGATACCGATACCGTTATTTTTAAAGAACCAACAACCTCCCAGGACTATATTACTAACATCATAAACAACAACTTTTGTTGCACGACTTTTTATAAATCATAACAAATTTACCAAAAATAAACTATAACGTTTTTGTTGTACTGTCTGACACATTTTCAATCTGTTTCTGGTCTTTTCAAACGTGCAAACGTCCTTCGACGACTCCCACCCCCGTCCTGCACGGAGTTATTACTGTTTAAAGCGATCTATTTAAATCTATTTAATTTTGTATGAAAGTGAAGTCTTAATGTGAGAAAGACAAAGGTAATGGTTTTTGAAAGAGAGGAAGATATTACGATTTGCACGATATTGATTGAAGGAGAGAAAGTGGATCAAGTGAAAGAGTTTGTGTATTTGGGTTCTATGTTTACGTGTGATGGAAAATGTGAAAGAGACATTGACAGAAGAGTGAACGCAGGGAATCAGGTGAATGGTGCCTTGCATACCTTCATGGGCAGCCAGAAAGTGTCTAAAAAGGCACGATTGGCTGTGCATGGGGGTGCTAGTCCCTACACTTATGTATGGTAGTGAATATTGGGTTTGGCAGAAGAAGCATGAAAGTAGAATTAATGCAGTAGAAATGAGAGCTTTGAGGAGTATGGCTGGAGTGACTCGGATGGATAAATTACGGAACAGTGTGATAAGAGAGCGTTGCGGCGTGGAAGAAGATATAGTGACAAAGATAGAGAAAGAGATGCTTAGATGGTTCGGACATGTAGAGAGAATGAATGAAAGAAGAGTGACGAAACAGATTTATAAGGCGAGTGTGAGCGGGCAAGTTGATATGGGCCGACCAAGGCGAACTTATCATGACCAAATTGAGGCCATCCTAAAGAAGGGCCAGGTCAAGAGTACCCTTAACCGACGAGCGTGTATGAAAGCATTGATGCGTGTTGATGAGGCGAAAGATGTGTGTCAGGACCGTAGCAGGTGGAAGACTGTTGTCTCTGCCTACCCCGATGGGAAAAAGGCGTGAAGTATATGTATGTATGAAAGTGAAGTCTGGTGAATAGTTAAAAGTCATGGGACAAAGGTTGTCGTTCATGATGTTAATAAGTAATATAGTCCTGGAAGGTTGTTAGTATCTTATGTACACATACTAGGCATACGCGCAGCAGCTTTTTCTTCTAATACCAAGTGACAGAATGAGTAAGTCGTGCACCTGGTGATAAGCGATACGCCTATCCATAACAGTTACAGTCCTACTCAGCTTAGGGTCATTGCCACTGCGCCCGACACCCTGAGACACAAGTTGACAAGTACCATGTGCCTGCACCGTTACTCTTCCAAAACAGAGGAGTAGTGGCAGTAGAGTTCCTTGTGAAAGAGTTCGTCCTAGGAAGTAAGTGCCACCTTATCTATTTTTGCCGCCAAGCAGTAATGTCAGCATTACTGTGTTCCGCTTTTGACGGGTAAGGCTGTTAGTGAAATTACAGTCACATGGGACTTGACAACTTATGTTTCATGGTGACGGGTTGACAGTTATGGACAGGCGTGTAGTTTACCAGCAGGCGCACGACTTGTTCATCCCGTCACTTGATATTATAAAAAAAAACCGGAACGTAGTAATGTTCACATTACTGCCTGGCGGCAGAAATAGGTAAGGTTAGCTTGAAAATGACGTTACAGTAACAGCTGGCTAATGAGTACCTGGCTAAATAATGATTACCTAAACTCTGTCTTTGGATTTAAAAAAAATTATTTAACAAAAAAAGATAATCAACCAAAACCGAGATCTGCGATAAGCATATAGAAAAATTCCGTGGTTTAGTTGGCATAGCATCTGGCACGGTTTGCTAGGAGATATTGGTTCGAATCCAGCCGGAGTAATTTTTTTTAATAATTATAAAAAAAAAGATGTTTCATCGTCAATGGCCCATCGTCTGCTATGTTTGCTTAATTGTTCTAAAAATTGTTTTCATTTGTTACAGAAATATGTGGTCAGTACGGACCGAAGTGGAGACATCCATGTTCATGTTCAGGTAAATTAATATACTTGTTCTTAAAATACTTGTAACAATAAGTTGATTGGAATTTAAAACAACAATTCAATAGTTGATTAACTTTGTTACACAACAAAATCGTTTCAGGAACAACATAAACAATTACGTTTTCTACTTTACGATGTTCGACGAAATCATTCTGTCATAGCCCAAAAATTTTGAAGGTTTTATTACTTATTGCTTAGGGTTCCGTACCTCAAAAGGTAAAACTAAAAACTTATAGTCTGCCTTCATTGTCCGTCCATCATTACTGTTTAATAAGCAAAACAAGATTATTTACGTTTATTTTTCTGAGTAACCTCATAATTATTGTTTCGAAGGTTACCACCAACACACAAACTCATAATTTGCATTATGTACATTTAAAAACATAATTTTTTTCAAGTTGTCTCACCTTTTTCTGATACTGAAAGGAGTGTATGTACAATAGAGGAAAAGGGGACATTTTACAAAAGGGACATTCTGCGAAATGGACTTTTTGTGCGATAGATCATATACCGTTGATGATAAGGCCACATATGCAAACAGATAACTTTTTACGAGAGAGGTTTAGAGATTCTACAATTGAAATAGTTGATAATATATGCTTAGAAAGGAAAGTTATACAATTTCACATAAATGTTGTTCCATGTATTCGTATCATTTTTATAAATTTCATGCGATAAAGGCACTTTTGATGTACGAACACATGACGCCTTGTTATGCCAATTGTACGTTTAATATTGTAAACTGAAGTTGTGAGAAAAATATTAATTGTTCCATACTAATTGCTTGTACATACTGCATTTTTATTGATATCAAGTGATGAAAGCGACAATTCGTGCGCCTGGTGCTGGTAATGGAAGATATAACAACAAAATGTTCTCGTACTAGGCACACTATAGCTTTGTGATTATGAGTCTAACCTCGCCTACAAAGCGCTTTCGCAGTTTGGTGAGAAATTGTATTATGTTCTCTTGTACGCCTTGTTTGTATGAAATAAATAAATAAAAAAATATTTTCACCATTGATCTTCTCTCTCATTGATTTTCACTTTGTATATCAACATTTGATATAATTTCCAAGTATATAATCACTCACTGTATATAACCAACAAAATGTATAACTACAAGTATATAAATAAATGTATAAGGCATAATTTCAATGTGTACCTATAATGAACTTTCAGTATAACAAACATTAGATATAATGGTTAGGTTACATAATAAACAAATGAAGCAGCGTACTTTTTTAACGGTTTCTGATATTTCTTATATTTACGGAACAATCACCAGGGCCTTTTTAGCTATTACACCCTTTTATATGTGTTGAACATAGCACAGTTACGCATAATACAATATTGTTCGTTCGTTAAGAGCAATATTGTTTCTAAGCATTTGACGTGAATAGAAAATCTTTCTTTGTTTACAAAGCGAGCAGCTTTATAGGGTATCAGGTTTTTCACAGTCGCCCGTCATTTTGTGTACATAACATCTTAGTAATTTGACTCTAGGAAAGATAAATTAGGCCATCTGTTTTAACCTTCATTTTGGAGTATTTTAAAAGTACAATTTTGTATTTTAAAAATTTTGTTACCGGAAAAATTATGAAAATATAAGTTAATTCCTTCCTGGAGTATTAATCAAACACGAATCGTCTAGAGACAACGCATGAAAAAAAAAGAAGGATGGTGAAAGCTGCCCCAATAACGACGAAGAACCGTTCATGGACTTCGCTAGTACAATTTTGCTTTTAGTTTATGTCTAGTTGTCAATATATTTTTGTAGATTTTTAGAAGTCGGGAATAAAGAAATTGGAAAACATTGTAGATAGATTAGAATAGGTGCCAAAAAACACAACGCAATTGATTCAGTTCGACTATAGATTAGGTAACGTTCTTGTACTTACGTTTCATTTTAAGCATGATTTAATGTTTACCTACCTAAAGCAGTGGTTAGTTTATAGTACACACATAAAACATTAAAGCTATAAAATAACTAATGAAATAATCAATTAAACAGTATTGACATAAAGCAAAAAATTAAAAAAATAAATAACGCACACACTCAACATAGCCCCGCCTAGGGAAACCCTGTGTCGCGGGTGCCATGGACACACACATAGACAACCACAAATTACACCCAAACTCACGAGAGAAATAATTGTAGGCCATACAACCTGGGACCTCTGCGTGGCAGTCCGGCATGGTAACCGTTCGGCCACGGAGGTAGTTCAAAACACAATGTGACAAAAATATTACGACAATATTTAAATGAGAGATAATGAAAGCTGCAAAGGAACGTTTTCACAAGAGACCTCTTGCCAATGTCAATGTCACATTGATTTTTTTATTTATTTATTAAGGCTTTGGCAAAACCATCAGCCTAAACATGAAGTTTAATTAATTATGTTTCTGTAAATATGGCCGCCACAAAGAGGATAGGCAATTAGAGGCGGCGTGCTTGGATTGACTCGGGATTCCTTAGAACGGGCCGATACGGGTATTTTAGTTCGAGATTCGTATAATTTCGCGTTTTAATCTTCGATTAAGGTACAATAGCACTATCCTATTCCACTTTAAACTAGATTTCGCAAAATAATTGAAAGTCAAAATAAAAACGACACTTTTCCCTCCAAAAGGTCCAGAGCGAATCACCACAATGTCACATTGATATTGAGAACAGTGTGACCATTTGTGGCAGATTTCTGCCATTTGGGCAGATATAATTTGTATTCATTTTCATTGCTGCAGAACATGATAAGTTATATTAAATGTGGTAGAGTTTGGCAAATTTGAGAACATTCGGCAAGTTCTTTATTATTTTTGGGAACAAATTGAAAACTTGTTGTTTTCTGCTACTACGAACAAACATCTGAAGTGAAATACAGGACAATGTTATAAACATAACTTATATCAACTTTGTAACTCCAGCTTCTACAGGTTGTACTCAATTAGCTTTTTTGATGCTTTGATAATGAATCACAAGTATTGATAAGCCCTTAGCGCACGTCGTCAAAAATACTGGGTCACAAAATACACGTGATGTTGCCATCCTTCTTTGCCGTAACCATATATCTAATCAAATCAGTCTCATAAATTCTTCCCAGTATTGTTTCCAAGCATTATATACTCGATGTTTCCGACACTCTGTCACGTATCATTAACCCCCGGAGATCTGGCTGTATTACACATTTCCTTTATCGAATAAAGGTAAAAATAAAACCGTTGACATTTCAATTTCATGCGCGCGAAATTGGTGGGAAAATGGGCAATATACCGCCATCTTGGAGTCGAATTATGTCCGTGTAAATTGACGGCTTTACCTGCCTTATGCTTTATGTGGGTCAGTGGAATAATTTTATTTTTTGCTTATAAATATTGTTTTATAATATGATTGACTCCTGGCTATTTTTATAAAGATGATCCTGTAGTCCTGTTATTATTTTTTATTGTGGCTTGCGGTGTTTTTCATTTTTGAAGACAATGAATTTATTGTTCCCGTCATAAAATAGGAATAAAATTAATTAATCGTAAACAGTCTAATTATCTATGGTTAATGTATTCATGTTAAGTTGTAGTTCGTAGTTCTTTGCAATTACAGAATTAAAATTAATTGTTTCATGCTACCGCAGGGAGTAATTCCAAGGCATGGTCAGGTAAGTGCTTCATTGGCTAACAATTTTTTTCCAATGTGAAGTAATCTGTTAATTTAAGAACGTTAGATTTTTACTTGTATGTATTATACTAGGCAAGTTTTTATAACTATAGGGTGCCTGTCTTGTACTCTATGCGTAAGCCTAAATTTACTTAGGAACAGACGACGCACAGGTTATATTAAAAAACAAGTCTCGTTTGTCGTCACTACGCAATGCAATTTTTTTATTTAGAGCCTTATCACATTGGCGATTTGCGAGCGATTTCAAAGCGAGGCGAGAGGTGAAGACGATTAAAAGAGTCATTATAATTGATGACAATCTTAAGTGTCATTTCATGACATGTCAGTTTCATGACATGATTTAAGTGATTTTGTGTGTATTTGTATGATTTTGTAACAAGTCCAGTAGTTAACAACTTAGTAGTTGCTCTGTTTCAGTCGATTAGTTTATAATGAATCCTTCTAAATTCGTCGTTGTATCGTTTCATTCGAAGTAACAAAGATAACAACAATGTTTTCTCGTAGGAAGTAATTTTATACTCACTGTCCAAAATGCGGGGTACTCGCCGTGTAAACGTAGCGCGCCTGCGGCTGCGGCGCGGCGGCGTTACCTCTGCGAACCCGCGGCGAACACACCGCGCTCTGGCATCGCTTTCAAACCGCTCGCAAACCGCCAGTGTGATAAGGCTCTAAATCGTAAGCCTACGTAGCCTCCTTCCTGTAAACGGTATACGAGTATATTTGATAAATTCAATTGTTTTCGATGCGCGAACTTTTGGGTGTTTATTGTGAATATTTGTTTATTGTTTTCAGCTGTATTCTTTGTAGAGTGACTTTTGTAATAGATATTAATGTACATGATAGTTATGGTAGTAAACAACTACAATTTGACGTCCATCCACACTGGATGAAGTGGTCGGGGCTTCGATTCCCGGTTCACTTCACGAAACGAAGATTTCTTAATGGTCTCTTCTGTGTGTGATTTAGATAGTGCACCAGAAGTTAAAAGTTGTTACTCGGATACTCATTGTACTTATCTATTTACAAAGAATTCCTTATAAAGTTTTTTATTCTTAATTGCCGTAATTGCGAGCACAGAAAGAGGATATTACAAGAAAATAGACATGCTTCAAAACGAATTTCATTCAGTGATGAAATCTATATTGCTTAATTAGAGGTCTATAAGGTCTCTTTACACAGACGACCCAATTAAGGGCATTATTTGTTTCAAAAACCTATCGAGTAAAATCGATCACTTAATGAATGTCCCAGTGATGATCATTGATCGTTTGAAATTTAATTTCCTTTGACCTTTAGGAATTATCCTATTGCAAGACGTAATGGCACCTCAAAACCGCTAAAGGTCGTATACGATTCAACCTACTGCTCCCTTAACAGTTTCTGTTAATGCTAATATATAATAATAAATAAATAATAATGTTCTTGGTTTTCTCTGGTTTCGGAGAGCAGTAAAATTCCAACACCATATTTAATAGGTCTTTATTTCATACTAGCTGGTGCCTAGCGTACTGTGCAATACAAATTTTCATAGTTTTATTGGTTCTCTATATATTTCTTTCTTTACTTTCATCCGTTATTTCACCAATTTTAAGATTTGGTTTTCTGACAAAAAGTAGCCTACATCCTTCTCCTATATCATCTCCTATATATCAATATTGATCTGAACCAATATTGATGAATTTTGAAAAAGAAAATATAACAGACAGTTACTTTAGCATTTATAATATTACTTTGGATTGGAACATTTAATAAACGCTTATGTCAAAACTGTACTCAAAAATTATTCTTAAAATTAAAATAGCGTAACCACCGAAACATAAATTGAATAAAGTGGCGAAGTTTGGTACAAAGAAATATGTGTGACTTTATCTGCTTCGCTAATAAAAAAGGAAGGAGGTCGTAATTGAAAGTTTTCTCACTAGCTCTTCAGGGACAAAAGTTCGGAAGTTAGAAAAAGAACCTTGATAAGGTCTGTTTAAGTACTCCGAGTGCCTGCCATTTGGCAAAGATGCGTTCTTGGAACATAGTACAATATTGCATAGGCCGGGAAGTAAAGAATTGCCAGACGAGTGTGAGTTACAAGGTCGAGCTCAACGAGGCCTTGTATTTTACGAGGCAGGCAATTCCCGTTCCTACCGAGGTGTATTAACTATAGTGCTTTTCTCTAACAATACGAGGAAATAATAAAAGACTCGAGAATGAAGGAAAATGTAATCATACATTTATATTTTTGAAACAAGTTTTCTAAGACAAATTTTGCTTTGTGTTTTAGGCGGAATCATTATTGTATTTTCGTTGTTATCACTAATCTTTATTTTCGCGAAGAAAACTTTATAAAAACATTAAATAACAAAAACCAACGTCAAAGTAGTTAATTTCGTTTATTTTACCACCTTTTTTTAAAGTCTGTGGTGCAGCCTTTTTTTAAATATATAAGATCATTGGATGCAGGTACTCTTGCTCCGCAAATAAGTATACAATTTGACACAGACAATTTGTTTTTAATTCTCGCAATTACGGACACTATGCTAGTGAGCAGTAGGCTGTATGACAGTTTTTCATTTAGCTCTTTGTAGATAATATATGTAAAAGTTTAAAGCAGACCTAATCTGGGCTAACAAAGAGTTACACGCTCCATGAAGAAATGACAAACTTTGTGGGTTCTTTTTTGAAAGTAATGCAAACTTTCCGTTAAGAAAAAAAAGTTTATTAACGTATAAGTGCAATAGTGTACATTTGAACTTGTTTTACACATTTTTGCTGTTGAATTTAAGTTTCTGTCCGATCATAATATTATTGTCTCCTATGTGAAAAACTTACAGTTTTTAACACTCGTGCTAAAGAAATGTTTTAAATATATTCCACGTATGGCAGCATATTTACTCTTCTATAATGACGCTACAGTTTGCTAGCTTTCAGAATTTTTCTGAAATAATAAGGAAGCCCTGTTGGCGCAGGTCTTTTGTCGCTTTGTTCTGTGGACTAATTATTTTTTCAAAAAACAATGGCATGTCTAATGGGTATACATTCTAGTACCTATATTTCTTTTGAAATGTTTTGCTTTAATTAATTTGTGTAATTTTCTCTGTTTAGTTTTGCTAAACAGTTTTAACGTAATTTCTTTGAGCTTAAAATACTTACATTAAACTTACACAATTTGTTATTTGTAGATGCCAAAACAACTAGAATCTTATGACAAGTCTACCAGAATCTTCAAGACTTCAATTTAGAATTATAACTTTTGTATAAAAAAATCTGACCTCAATAGTTAATGGAATTATATCTATTTGGAAAGTTTTATTGAAATCGGTTACCGCAAAATGGGGGAAACCGGATTCATCTCCTAGTTTGCCACCCTTAGATGTGGAATGTTTTCTTCAAATATAAATGGTACCAATACTGAAGTATCCTCTTTCCACCAAAAAAGAATCATCAAAATCGGTTCACAAACTTCCTCTTTTTTTTAAGACTGTTAAAATGAGATGGAGCAATGACATTCTTATTTTCTGCTATCAAGATCGTTTAGTCCAATAGGTAATGCCAAGCGTAGCTAAAACAATGTAGAATTTTCCTATTAATTATAATATTTTGGTAGACTTGTCCCATTCAATTAAGTTCCCCTTATCCTCTTATATGATACAGATATTATGTGGATTACATATTGAAGGAAAAATGAAAGAGCCTTCAATCAGCGTATGCCTAGGCGTCCTAAGGAGCTGTTTGAGTATTTAATTATGTAGTATCACAATACGAGTACAAGAGCAATGTAATACTGGTTCTAAAATTTAAAACAATGCAACAATACCTATAGAAAACGCAGTAGAGAGACTATGAATATTTCCTAAAGACTTTGTCCCCTAGACATCTGCGCAGAGATTCCAAGCCCTTTCGAGTCCCGGAAAAGCCTTATTGTCAAGTGAGGGCTGATTTACCCTTTATAGGGCTGAACGGACTCGAGTGCCATCGTGAATAGATGTCGAACAAAGAAGTTCTAAAATGTTGAACACAAAATTACTTAGGAAAATATTATATGTAAAACAAACAAGTAATATTAATGTGAAAATTCTCAATAAGTAGATTTTGTTTACAACGTGACCTGACTTCTTAATATTAGTAATATATATTAGTAATATAACAAAACTTTTAAAAAGTTGAAATCATTTTGGTACACACGGCCACAGAAGTTTTTTTAAATTGATTCATCGGTTGGTCGGAAACGCATTTTTCTAGTACCTTTGCCATTCCAACCTAAAAAAAAATAATTTTGATAACATCTTTAGGCGTATAGTGTTTTGTCATAACTAAGTAAATAAACCTCGCCAGGTTTCAGTCGCAACTGACAATGTAAGCAGAAATGTAAATAACATTGGGATAAAGCGCCAAAACGCTACGCGGTTACATCCTTTCCCCTTAGGCGTATCCTCCAGGACTAAACAAGGACGGTATCATTACGAACTATATAGGAGTGAATGAGAAAACAAATGGAAGGACTTTTATAGAGGTTTATATGTAGGGCTACGTTTTGCGACGCAGGATATTGAAATATTGATCTTTTGCGGAGAGATACGCGGGCATATTCGGACTCCTAATTCAAGAACTTTGAGCAAAATTAGTTAGTATAAGTAAGTTTTTTTTGGACTAAAGGACAAAGACTGTTAATGCAACATTACGTACACGGTGACATACTTATTGCGACTGTTCCTGCCTTTAATTTTTTTTCGCACTATTGTGGTTGCAGTTATTAAACTGCACTAAACTTAACTGCCTCGCAAGAATTTGTTATATGTTTTATGGACAATTTTAATAACTGCATTGAGGTCCGTTACTCAATTACGGTTTTAATTACAAACGTTAGGTAGGTTTGTTTAATAATTTTATATACTGCTTTGTAAGATGCATAGGTACCTAGTGTACATAAAATCGGTTACCAATTTACTAGTAGTTATTGTATAGTGCTACAAAAAGTATATAATCGAATTTTAACTTCGTTAAGAAAAGTCCTTGTATTTTTGGTATCACTTTTTACATATTTTTGATATCATTTTCCAAGTAATTTACCAAACATATAATCAACCTACGATAAAATTAACCAAATCTTGGTCTCTTATTTCACGAAATTCCATTTGCAGTGTTTATAATCGCTAGTATTGTCTGGCTTTTTTGATAATTTGAATTCCCCATGTGTCACCGCAGGCGTACCACTATGGAATACGCAGTTAAGGTAGCTTCATAAAGTATTCTTGTTTCCTTGCTTTAATTTCACACACGTAATTACTCCGTGACAGATAGGTGCGTGAAAAATATTGCAAGATCCAACTCATAATAGGTCCCACTTCTGGGCAAGGGTCTCTTCTTAGGTAATTATAGTTCCAAGGTTTGTGTACTTTCATCACGACGGTTTCCTCTACCATTAGCAAGAGCTATTGCGAATCATAAATGCATTTAATAAAATCATGGGATACAACGTCACCGCAGGGATTCGAACCATCGATGTCGCAATGGAGAAGCGCCATACTCGGCTATCACCAAAAGGCGAAAAGAAGAAAAGTTGACATAAACAAGTTCTTTATCAATACATAGGTATTACCTATATAATAATAATAACGTATACAGTCATAGTCCCGCACTAGGGAAACCCTGTATCGCGGGTGCCGTGGACACACACATATTACACCCAAACTCACGAGAGAAATGAATGTAGGCCATACAAATATTTCTCCTGGCCCGGGAGTTGAATCCGGGCCCTCTATGTGGCAGTCCAGCACGGTAACCGTTCGGCCACGGAGGCAGTACATGTCATGCGCTCAATCGGATATATTTTTTACAGGGAACTTTTTTGCCAAGTAGGATTGAAATTAGTTTAACAATTTCCAACTTAAGTTACAAATTACCAAATATTTTTCAGGGTGACCTGAGTCAACAAGACAAGCGATGTGTTTTTCTAACGGTCCACGACCTTGGAACCAACCGTAAGTACCATGATCCTGGATCGATATCCTTTTGTTCATGGGGACCAAAACATTCATACATATTACAGTGAAATTGCCACCCTCTTACGTATGTAATAGAGTAGGTTGTACGACGATAAATTGCAAAGTAACCTTAATAATCTGTTTGTTTACATCTGGAAACTGTAATGCCCTGAACTTGTAATGGCAATGACCTCGAAAACAGGTCCTAAACACGAATCAAGGCTTTAGCCGAACTACGTCCTTTAAGTGGGTACTTTGACATTGCTTTGATCCTACAATAGAAATTATGTAAAGCACCATCTATTGACAACTATTAATACTTCTAACATCACGAAGTAGACTTATTGTTCTAATGTAAATGTGAAACTTTTAGCTACGTAGTACTAAATGAAGCAGATAGATAGAGCGCATATAAAATTAAAAAATGTGGTCATGAGATGCTGAAAATATTTACTTTCAGATTCTTCTATAGTGGATTTCGTGAACAGCCCGGCTATGACCGAGATCAAGGAGCGTTCTTGCTTCATCCATGTTGATGTGCCGGGGCATGAGGAGAGCTCGCCTGATTTGCCTGATTCGTAAGTATTATGATAATTTTGAGGAAGTAAGAACATGATTTTCTACATAGCATTAGCGTGGTGATGTTGTTATTGGCTAACATTATACACTTCCGGACACATCATTCGAGCCACCACTCATTTTCAGTATTAAGTGCCCTAAGCTTAGACAATGTTTGATTGATTAAATACTATTATGCAATTTTGAAACTAGTATACTAAACGTCTTTTCCATAAGTCCTTGTTGGAAATTTGGATTTACAAAACCTGGGGACAACTTTTTCTTCGATGATAACACTATTTTTCTAGCCCTTTACGACAAAAATACGTGGTGGCTCGGTTTATAAATCCGGGAGTATATTTATACAAATATTAGCAAAGAGGTAATGTAGGGTATGCCAACGATGGATGGTCACTGCATTAATAAAGGAACTTAGGAAGTACTAAAATTTCCAAGAACAAGAAATATTTATCGTTGGAGTTTTTGTTGAAGTGGCGACTTCTGTTAAAAATAAAACAACAACAAGAAACTATCTGTTTTTACAGCTACCAGTTTCCATCTCTTCAAACTCTTGGCGAAGATCTGATCACAGTCTTGGACTTTCTTCATGTCCGCTATGCTGTCGGCCTCGGCGAGGGAGCTGGAGCCAACGTCCTAGCTCGATGCGGGTTAGCCCATCCCCGCAGACTTCTTGGCCTTCTTCTGGTCAATTGCACCGCGTCTACGTCTTCAGTTGCTGATGCCTTCAGGACCAGGTTCTCGCGTTGGAGGGGCACGGACATCTCTCAGTCGGAAGAAGACTTCCTCATTTATCACAAGTTTGGACACGTGAGTTTTGAGGATCATCTTGATTACAAATATCAGGTATTCTTCCTTTTTTGTTTTGCGCTAACTTTACTAACTGGCACAAGGGGTTCGGTTAAAAAATTAGTTTTAGATTTAAAAGTTAAAATCAAACCACAGCGGACTAAATAAATTGAGCGCTAACGATTGGGAAAAAGACCATACAAAATGCTTATGGAGTTTATTACACAAGATATGCAGTAGAAATATGCATGAAGTTATCAGATAAACTATGACAGAATAATAAAAACCTACGTCAATGTGGTATTATAAAATAATCATAAAACGGCGGCAAAAATTATTAATGTAAAAAATTTGTTACGAAAAGGTAAAGTAATTGGATTTTAGTTATTATAATCGTGTTTAACAAGATTTGTAACGGCCTTCGGTTCGCTACACAAACAATAATTAAGTATAAAGAGTAATGACATTAAAATGTTACTTCCTTATAGTAGCATGTTGAAAAAAAGTCTTTTTTCTTAATGAATGGCTTTTGAGATAGTTGTCGCAATTCTGCCCTTGTCCATTTTATGCTAGTTTCCTAAGCACCTTGGAGGGAGAGTATATAGAAAATTTATTCGGAGACTCAGAGGGAGTATCGAAGAAGTATTTTTTAGACTAGAGTCGGATTTTTAATAACAGATAACAAACTGACAGCTGCTTATGTCACTATGAAACTACCTTGATGATCTACTTGGAATAGTCAGTGAAATCGATGTTTAAGACAAACAGTTTAAGACAAACATTTCTTATTTAATAAAAAACTGGCAACCTACTAAGTTTATTATCTATATTAACAATAATTTATTTACTAAAGAAAAACAAGGTGCATGAGAACAAAATGATAGTTGTACAAGAAGAGAAGAAATACCATTTAAAAGTGATCCCGTAACTCCTAAACTAGGATATCATGTATCTTAGGAGTTAGTGATACCTCCAAAATTGGGTATTAGTTATTGGGTAATATCTCTATTTAAAAAACCGACTTTAGCACTAAATTTAAAAATAATGAAACCCTAGTCCTGTGGCCGCCATTAAGGAAAAAACAATGTTTAGGTATCAAATTTTGTGGGAGATTCAAAATGGCCACCGTAAAGATATAATGATTTTCCGCGAACAATTATCAGAAAATTGAACGAACGAAAATTTTGTGGTTGTTACTTTCTAAATAAAGAGAAATAAACGCTTCAGTTTCATTTCATTTTCCTAAATAATACGTTAAACAAGTTAATCACTGTTTTTAAACTTAATTAATATCTCAGAACTTGAGACGCAAGTCAAGCTCTCCTGTATTAATGAACTATATTCGTGGGCATTCCTTAAGATGATACCATTTCAAATGCCAAAGACCTTGCATTTGATTGATTAGTATCTAATAATGATCTTAATTCAATGCTTAACTGCTGGGTGACTTTTTTTTAACATATCGAATCATTGAGTAGGTAGGTAATCAAAATTAAATTGATGTCATACAGGCAATAAAGATACTTGCTTAAAAAGACTTTAAATATCGTTCGTGACTTGAGTTGGATTTATTAATACGTGCTTTGGTATTTGTTTTAAAATCTAACAAATAAAATCTAACTAAAACAGTAAAGTCTGACATCGTTTAGAGGTAATTGGTGTTATGTTAGAAAAAAAACTAGTAAATATGTGTTTTATTTGCACAAAATCTAGTTAAAAAGCTGCAATAAGAAATGTTATTTAAATTAGGTACCTATATCGAATTCGCAAAAATTACGTATTGGAAATGATAAATTTTTATCCGGATCAAAATAGTATGCATTTCTTTTTTCAATCAAACCAACGTTTACATACGAAAAAATATTTTCGTTCTCATTGTATTTGACAGTCAATAAAGAGCCAGAAACATTGCGCACTTGACAACTAACATATTATTTCAAAAATTGCGTTATATTATATTTTATTTCAAAATTGCCTTATAATATTAATAATTTGTATCTAAAATTTCGCTATATTTGTATGTCATTCGTATACGATTTAATTTCATAGTGGCAGGACAACACTGTCGCTATGAAATTAAATAGGTAATATTAATATAACTTATAGCAATTTTGAGATAATACTATGTTAGTTGTCATGTGCGATTGGTTAGCTTAAAAAACAAATATATGTGATTTATTTTTCGCGCTGATTATACTTTTGACATACAAACATAATTTTTTTTATTACGTGTCTATGTACCTATGGTAGGTATTTTGGCTTCTAAGAGGTCGCTTTTTAGATAATTATGCTATCTGTCTATGCTTATAGAGGCATTTCTCTTCTGCCAATAACACCTTCATAGAAATAAACTAACTTACTAACACTTTTCATTTTAAATCGGCTTTTGTTTAGTTTAGAGTAGATGTTTTTTTTTGCTTTCTGTCATTTGTTGTGTTCCATTGTAGTTTGTAGATTTTGGTGTTCTAGTGTAGAATTTTATTTATAGTTACTAGACGCTTAGCTACCTATTGTATGATAATTATTCAGCTTAACCAATACTCTGACTAATGAATACTTCGCTGAAATGTAGGATTTCTTCTATTTTGTTCAAAGACTTAAACTGTAACACTGTATAAGATTGGATCTGGAGATCAATTATCGACATTTTATCGATGTTCAAATAGACTGCAACAAAATTTAATTAACGTTTCTATTTTCTAAAAAAAAAATAGTAGTTTCCGTATCAATAGCAATAAAATTATACTCGTATTATATACCAAGCGGGCGTGGAGAAGAATTGGGTTTCATTCAACAACCAATAGTATTATGGTATATAAATGTTGCTAAGTTAAAATAAATTACTATCTGTTGTTGCAGCGTACAGTTCTTTTCCGCGTAGATAATAGGAATTACACCGGTTCTTGTAGAGAATTTCCTAGTTAATTACTTCATTTAGCTAAAGGTGTTTAGTTTGTCACTTATATTGAAGGGCAATGTAATGATTGTTACGTTTTCGTGATTAGCAAATTAACAGCGACTCGTGCGAAGTGGGCGAGAAGGAGCGTTTGCTGACGGAGTATCGCTCGCGCCTGCGCGGGAATCTCAACACGCATAACATCAAGCAGTATGTGCGCGCCTTCATCAAGTAAGTACTTCTTGGTATAATAAAATCACATGTCGATACCTCCAAGGAACACTACACCAATAAAATTTTTGAACTTGCTGTTTTTTTTTTATTTTTAATAATTAATAACGCACACACTCAACATAGCCCCGCACTAGGGAAACCCTGTGTCGCGGGTGCCACGGACACACATATAGACAACCACAAATTACACCCAAACTCACGAGAGAAATAATTGTAGGCCATAGAAATATTTCTCCCGGCCCGGGAATCGAACCTGGGACCTCTGCGTGGCAGTCCGGCATGGTAACCGTTCGGCCACTGAGGCAGTTTATATGTTTATATTTTGTTTTTTTTCTTTATTTTTTTAACAAAATTCAAGGAGCCTAATATTAGTAAATAAATATGGCTGTTTACAAAAATACAGAAAATGCCCAAAACGTTAAGTTGGCATAGTGTTCATTGGAGGTACCGATGTGATCATCCGTCAAAAATGCTTTTATCACATGAAAGTTATTAAAATCAACCGACTACATGCAACTAATTACGTGTACTTGACAGTTTACAACTCGCATATTTAAGCATAAAAATGTCACCGACTAATTTCGTTCATAGAATCTTTTGATACCTCCAAAGATCACTTTTTTACGCGGAGAAATCCATCATGGATACCTTCCGCCTTGGGATGTTATAATGACGGTCTTATAAAATATATACGATACACCTAAGATTATTGGCTAAAGAACGTGCTAATGTGTTTCACGATATGATGTTTCTTATCCGATCATATAAAATCCTGAAAACAGGCTAAAATAAAAATCTAAAACTAATCATTTAAAAATAAATTTTTAACTTCGTACATAATTTTTATATGGATATATTTATCTATAAATACTTACTACAGAAAACCTGCTCAGTTTAGGTTTTCAACGGAAGCCCTATAGTTATTAACGTTATCCCAAAATTTGATAATTGCCTAGCGGTTTAACACGCCGTGCAGCCCGCTGCGCCGTCTGTCGCCATCGGGCGCTTGTCGACGTCGGATTTGTGTTGCGACGGATGGCCCGAGGCTAGATGTTGCGAGGCTACCCCCCCACACCTCACCTCCTAAAATCTAGGCTCGCGTTGAAATACCACGTCTTAAATAGAAAGTGTAAATGATAAATGTACATTGTCTGTCTTTTTTGAAGACGGAGTAAAATGACATTTGTAGGGTTGCCAGTTTTCACAAAATTTTAAATAGTTATGTAGTTGTTGCCGATAGTTTTATCGATAGATTATGAAAGGAGATAAAAGTTTGCCGAAAATGACTGAATTATGAATGTTACGACGTTTTAATGGTTACTAATTGCATTATTGCCTTCTTTATTCTTATTTTAACAGTTGGCCTACTAGTATCGAAATCAATTTTTATTCATATAGGTACATTTTAACAAGAATTGCCGGATTTCATTATATATATTGAATTAAAATGAAAATCATTAAAATATTTGTCCTCTATGTATTTTTCATATACATAATTCTAAATACAGTGTATGTATGAATGAACTTACAAAAATTGACAATTCAAAAGAACTTGTGCTTAGTAATTGGATGAATAATGGGTCGAGGATGATTCAAATGAAACAAGTTCCGATATTTATTAATAAGCGTGACCAATATTCAGTCGATAGTCGATAGAATATTTATCGACTGCAATCACTAGCTGCTCGCAAGCGGGCAACACTTTCGCACAATGAACTGTCATTTTACACCGTTTTCAAAAAAAGACAGACTATAGGTCATCATTATCATCATCAAACTTAAGTGTTATACTCTTGTCGGTGGAGCCTCTTCTAGTCATCTCTCCTACAAGCCAGCTCCTTGACCTCCTTATATGATACGATACCGGCCTTTTCCTTTATTTGGTCTATGTAACTGCGCCTAGGTCGACCTCTTCCCCTCTTCCCCTCGATCTTTCCCTCCAAAATGGTCTTAAAGAAGTTGTCGTGTCGTATCAAATGTCCAATAATTTTCCCGCGTCTATACTCTATAATATTCAGGATCGTTCTTTTCTCGTTTACTATTCTCAATATTTCCTCATAGGTTTTCTTTTCTATCCAACTTATACCCTTCATTCTCCTCCAGCACCACATCTCAAAAGCTTCTAATCTTTCCCTATCTCTTTGTGTCAGTGTCCATGTTTCACATCCATAAAGTACCATACTCCAAATGTACACTCTAATTAGATGTTTCTTCTTCTTGCATGACAAGCTGCGTGATTTTAACAGTGTTTTTTTTGGGTTAAAAGTTGTTTTTGCCGTTGCAATTCGTGCAACAATATCAGGTGTAGGTACACCTGGAGTCTTTAGTAATTAAGCTGCCCAAATATCTGAAAATATCTACCAGTTCAATTGGTGTATCTTTATGTTTATCTTTATTACGCACTCTTTAAATGTTGAATCTATTACCAACACCAATTCCTTTAACTGTGTTGCAGTTTCTGCAAAGGCAGCAAAGTATGTAGACTATAGGTACCAATGTTTATTTATAAACAACAACCCCTTTACTCGTTCTTGTCTGGGGAATTTCCTTACCAGTGATTAGTATAGAGTCATTTCATTTTGAGTTTATTAATTATGTAAATAAAGACATCATATCGTAAATGTAGCCATTACATCCTTAGCTACAAAATGTATATATAACATATTATATCTTTATTCAAGTCGCAAGGACCTGGTGCTGAAGGGCTGTCAACCGGATATCCTGCTCATTACGGGCATGCTCAGCCCTTATGCCAGCGTCGTGGAGAAGATGTACAAGGAGCTGGATAAGGAGAAAGTGACAATCCTGAAAATTGACAGAGTTGGAGACGTCTTGGCTGAAGCAGTAAGTTTCTTTTTTATATTTGCACAAAATAGCAAGTAATAAAAACTGTCTTTTTTTAAATTGGAAGTTTGTAATAAATTTAGTTCTGTGGCCCATCGTGCCAGATATTAGTAGATTTTCTTTAATATCAACGAACAAATTATCGACATCTGCAGTGGCTAAAAAGAAAGTTGCATTATTGACAACCGTACCAAACTATAATAATTTTAATAGCATTAGAGATCCTTGTGAAAGAATTCATCCACAGAATTACAGCCACCACAGACCAAACATTTTTTTTAATAATACCAATGACGTGATGAACGAGTCTTGTGTCTGGTGGTAAGCGACACGCCTGTCCATAATAGCTGCAATGCCATTCAAAGCGTCAAAGCGTAAAGCTTTGAATGGCACTGCAGCTATCGCAGCTATCGCAAAGACCTTCCTAAACTAAATAAAATGTTTTAAATGTTAAAGTACAATAGATTCAGAAAATATAACTTTGCGCTGAGTATCAGCAGTCAACCGTGACCATGGGACCTGTAAAGGGCCCGAAACGTCGGTTTGTTTGAAAAAACAAGTATTCGCGATTTAAATCCGGAAAAATAGTTTCATTTCCTATGTGTAACAATCGCGAAAACCTAAGAACTCGATTTGCGTTGAGTAATTAAACACAAATTCGATTGCAAAGGCCTTTCTAAAAAAAATTGCCAACCAATCCAGCCCGCCTTCAGAAAGGAATGGAGATGTAGTCTGTATAAGCGTAATACAATGTAACATAGTCTAAGGTTAATAATCAGATAGCAAAAGGTCGCGTAGAAATAAAGGATTGCAACAAACACTCCCAACAAAATGATAATAATCAACATCAAAGAGTGTATATCTACAACGCTATGCAATCATTAACCTGTCTCTATAAATCTAACCTTTAGATCTTGATCTGATCTTAGTGGCATCGGCTATAATAAACTTTAAAGAAAAAATAAATTACGGTAAATCTGAATTAAAATTGTTGCAGCTCAGTATTCCATGTCAAACCAAAACACTGTAATACTTAGGCCATACTGAAAGTTCCTGGATTCTGATAAGTAAGACCAGATATTTATTTATTTATTTATAATATAGATATATTGTTTTTCAAAGTATATGCCATTCACACATTTCGCTGGAACCATTGTGAAAAGCAGTGGTACCAGCCTTTCGTAGGGACTTCTTCAATGGATTCGTGGAAGGCATTATTATCTTTGATTTTTTTAAATAAAAAGAAATTACATGGTGCAAGGTCTGGGCAGTATGGCGGATGGGACATTAGCTCCACATTTGAGGCCTTCAAATATGCTTTTGTTACCTTAGTAGAATTATGTAGGCATTGTCGTGGTGAAGGACGATATATTTTCGAGGACGCTTTTCGCAAACTTTTTCTAACACTCTAGGCAAGCAGGTGTTTACACACCAATCTGCAGTCACTGTCCTTTGGTCTTCAAGCGCTACAGTAGTGTAATGTCCTGATTTATCAAAGAAAGTAGCAACCATTTTCTTACCAGCACTCCGACTTTTCTTAACTTTCGTCTACAAATCTTCAATGGGAAAGACCCATTCCGCGGATTGTCCTCCAATAAACTTTTTTATCATTTTACGGCACCACTCTACACCTAGTCGTTTCTGGTATTCCGTTAAATCATGCGGTATCCATCGAGTGCCAAGGTTCCAAACCTTTAGATGCACATGCAAAATCTTGTGCGCCTGGCGCATTCCGATGCCGCCGATGCCTAATACAGTACGAATTTGCTGACAAGTATTTTTTTGTCTGTTTCAATCGTAGCTGTTCGGTACCAATATTAAATTCGGTAACCGTAGTCGCCGGCCGACCTTCACGTACATCGTAATGGAGGTGATCACGTCCACGTCCACACTAAATTCACTGAACCACGAATAGACAGAACTATGATATGGGACTTCATCACTAAACGCCAATTGAAGTCTCTCACAACTCTCTTGTTGACTTAAGCCACATCGAAAATCGTAAAACGAAAATTTTCACAACTGAAATTGTAATAGCGACTCAGTTTTCAAAACGACGTCATAAATAACAGTCTTATACTAAGTAAAAAGTAATTTACTCGCAGTGAGTGATTATTGAAATCAGTTACCGGAAAATGCGTGACACCAGATTTATCCCCTAGTTTGCCATCCTTAGAAGTGGAAAATATTTTTCAGATTTAAATGGGACCAACACTGAGGTACTCACTTTGCAACAAAAAACAAAGAACCATTAAAATCGGTTCACAAATGTAAATGTAATCGCGTAAAATACGTACTAAAACAACTTTTTTTTTAGTCAGTTCAAAACCTTTAGTTCACTTTCATAACTAAGTTTTCTTAACTGGTTAAGAAAAACCCTTTTTTATTATTGTTTTCACAACTGGTTTTTAAACAAGAATACGAAGTGTTCATTCATAACTGGCAATCACAAATAGTTAAGAAACGAATAATTATGATACGCTGTTTCTATTGAAAAACAAATAACTTTCGAGTTCTTAGGTTTTCGCGATTGTTACACGTAGGAAATGAAAATATTTGAAATGAAATGAAAATATTAAATACTTGAAACGTAAATTTCAGTGTCTGATTTATTTCCACTGGATCATCTGTTTTACTAAGCTCATTCTGAAGAAGGACTTGAGTAAGTTCTCTATACTCAGTACCCATCTTTAAAAGCTCATTAGTTGCAGCTGAAAGTTCTTCTAGTTGTTTCTGCGTAGAAAGTAGGTCTTTAGTTCGCGATTGAAGATCTAACTCCAGATCTTTCACTTGTTCGGCCATCTTCAACTTGTCCTTGTGTAAATTTAACTTTGCTGATTTTAGTTTCGGAAGTGTTTTCGATTTCTTTTTTATCAGGTTGTTTAATTTGGAAAATCTTGGGTCTTGCGATTTAGTGCTGCATACATTCCTGTCTCCCATGGCTAGTTCATCACGGAGTGACAAGGTCGTTAGGTGGTCGTAACTTCCGCTTTGTTCATGTAATGATGCAACTTCAGCATTTGATTCCATTACCTGTCTTTCAAGAAATCTGATACGGTCTAAAGCGTCTTCGTCTTCTTGGTGATTTTATCTCTATAATTAATTCCTTACGTTTGCACTCTTTTTCTAATTCTTCACAAAATTGTCGGATTTCATCAAATTTCCCTTTCAATGTCATACGTAAAGTCTTGAGCGCCTGCATTTGCATTTCATTTACATCGCGTTCTTGAAGAAGTATATCTGTCAGTGCCCTCAGTTCATTGAGCTCCGCTTCCATCTTCTTATTCTTTTCTTCAGACAACATTCTCCTGGTCATCATGTTGTACTGGATATCGCGTCACTGGAACGTATCGAATGGAATGTAAGCGCACACACCGTACTTAAAAGTATATGTAATTTATCAATAGGAAGATGTAAAAGTATATCTTCCAAATACGAAGTTCCTACTAGCACAGTGGGCTATTGTCTATTTCTAATCCTTAATCTATAAGATAATTGTAAAGAACATACAAATCTCACGAAAATAATATTAATAAAATTACTCTTATGTATATATAAATATATATGAGGTATTGTTAATAAAATTGTATATTATGTAATAGTTAAAGGTCTCACGTGAGTACTTTATGTATGTAAGTCTGTAAAATACAAGCAAATACATCAAAGTTTACTTCAAATGTATTGAAGTAAATTGAGACCCGCTTACAAATACGTGACAGTTATTGTAGTGTTTTAATGTGTTTATCGATAGCTACTTAAATCGGTAACGGTAATCAACTAAAGTTAAAAACTGTCTGTACTAAATTTTCTGTATAATAATAATAATGTAAATAACTAAATAAAAGTCTTTTAATGGAATGTGTGAAGGTACGTTGTCTCCGAGATTTGTTTGACAAAAGTCAAGCAAAAGGAGACAAGTTCAGTGCTGCGTTGTATCTATGTAATTTATAGTTTGTGTTATGTTACGGAACTTAGGTAAGAGGAAATAATGATAATAATAATATTATGAAAAATTTAAAAAATAATAGCAATAATAAAATAATAATAATGAAAAAAGAAAAAAAACGAAAAAATACTTCGCAAGAAAACCTTCAAACCTTCAGCGTCTGAGATGCGAACAGCGGGCGGTGAAATCTGAATTCGGCCGCTATCCCGCTAGACCAGTGCGCACACAAGTTCTACCGGCGATATTACGGTACAGTTTTGTAGTAAGCTGTTATCTATTCAATGTTGCGACGAAGTGGGTAACAGCAAGACACTTTTTTAACGAACGGTAGCAACGACGCAATGAGTCTCCTTTTAAAAAACACTTTTAATCCTGTTGTTTTGATTAATTTCACAACACTCACTGATTTTGCAGGAACATGTTTATTCTTTATTACTAAAATTTAAAGTCATACACTGGTTTAACAGTCGTACAGAGAAAATTTTGTAGCCGATATTTACGCACTAAAATTTCTTATCCGCTCACGCGATGCACTCCTCCTACCGCAAAATGGCGGCTATTTGGTTTTGCAAATTAGAAAAGCATTTAGTTTAAATACAAGTTTTTATAAATAAAAATTATTATTCTGCATTGCTAAATTGCTAAATAAATACCCTCCGTACTACCAACAAAAACATCTCAAATAAAATGCAGTAATACACCGCAAATCCTGCACTTAAAAAGCACTAATGAAAGTTTTGATGTACTTGGATAAAATAATCTATTTATCCAAGTACACCAAAAATAATATGTCTTTTGTGGTGTCATTGTGGTAAACAAATAAATGTATTTTCTTTCTTTCTTTCTTTCTTCTTTATAATATTTCGTTTGAGTGGTTCTAATGTTTACCATGAAATTACTCCTTAAAGCATAGTTTATAAACATTTATATTCATGGTAAACTTAAAAAACGCTACTTACGGTATGTTTTCAATAAATAAACACCGAAATCACCAGCCCAAACAATAACACACACGATTGTCATGACGTATTTTTGAAATTGTTTATTTTTTTTA